TCTATCTTTAAACTATAAGAAATGGAGCTACTCATTATAGTTAAAAAAAAACTCTGAGCAGTAACTGCCATTGTACCATATCTTAAATAAAACTTATCTCTTAAAACAGACAAGTGTGAGCCATAATGTATCTTTTAATGTTCTTTTTAGGTAAATAGGACCTCATTTCCATACTTGAGAGCAAAGAGGCTTAATATTTTCAATGTAAGTTTAAGACTTGTTGCTTAGCAATATTCAAATGAGAGAGAGTCCCTCCTCCAGAACTGGATATAAAACAATTGTCCATGTGAATGTGTGTTAGATTCAGTAAAGGAAGAGATTTCTTAGCACTTAAATTATAACCAGATATGAGACCATGTAATCAAATGAGAACAATCCAAACTTAGTAAATTTTGTGCAGATTAAGTTAGCTACATATCACTAATTGTATATGTATCATTAGGTGTGGTTCATAATCATTCACCAACCTCTCCTCATGAAGTGCCTGGTAGCCTCTTTATAGAATTGGCATGTAAAAACAAGGCCTCTCAGTCCTTGTCTAGATCCTATTTTTGTGCATTTTTTCCCCTTCTATCTTTAGCCCACATTTCTTGGCTTTCATGCCTTTACCAGTTCTTGATGTCCCTTTGCAAAGGCTTGATGTATTTTAGTACAGAGCTTACCAGGAAAATCTGCTACTCCTGTAGTTGCCTTTCAAGCTGCATTGCCCACTCTTGGTGTCTGAACATCTGTTGGTTTTATTATGCGTTACTCGTTCAGTTAGTCTTGGTCCTCTCTCTGTGCAGCCTTTTATCTCTTCTCAAGAATCCCTTTATTTTTGGTAACTGGCCCTCCAAGGGATAGGGCCTTAAATATGGTAGCTCCATAATAAACTGTATTGAATACATGTTGAATGAATACTCTTAGACTTGATGCAGGACATGCAAAACACTCTTAAGGTGTAGGAAGAAATACTAGAATTTCTGCTTATTATCAGTTGTAAATCCCATCCTTTTGTTTACTTTAGTGTATTTTATAGGGTAGACAATACATTCTCATACATTACATGGATAGGTCTTCTAACTAGGGGGCTAAAGTCTCAGTAATTGTTGGCAGAGTAATTTCTCTTGTCTCATCTCTTCCTGGTCTGGTCAGTCTGGCTCCAATGGCCATTCTGCTGTGGTAGGCTCCACCTACCACAGGCTGACCAGTTCAGCACGATAGCCAGTACTGGGGTCACAATAGTCACCCCATCTTTCCAGCCTGTCTTTTAACCAGTTCTTACTGCTCTTTGCTGTGATATGTGCTTTCTATATTGGCAAAGTCATCATAATGGAAAATGTTTATTGATTTTGCCCCTGTATTGATTCGGAAAGGGTAGTTTCAATGACTACTTTCTTGAAGTATACAAAAAAAACCACCTTTATCTATGATGTCTTCCTGTTTTTAAAACCCTTCACAAGCCTCCCTTCCTCCAAATCCTTTGTGATACAGATAAAAACATTTATTAAAAAAATAAGGAAATAGCAATTATACAGCAAGAGAAAGAGTCAAAATCTTTTAAGGTAAAAGATATGTTCTAGGGCTTCCCTGGTGGCGCAGTGGTTGAGAGTCCGCCTGCCGATGCAGGGGACACGGGTTCGTGCCCCGGTCCGGGAGGATCCCGCATGCCGCGGAGCGGCTGGGCCCGTGAGCCATGGCCGCTGAGCCTGCACGTCCGGAGCCTGTTCTCCGCAACGTGAGAGGCCACAGCAGTGAGAGGCCCGTGTACCGCAAAAAAAAAAAAGAAAAAAGAAAAAAGAAAAAAGATATGTTCCAGGAAAGTTGTATATAGATAAAACTTTTAAAAATGAAATCCTACTTTTAAAAAAATGTATCAAGAGAGCTTGCTATTTATTTTCATTTTAACATTTTTATAAAGCAAAGAATCAATTTTATATAAATGACCATTCTTCTTTATTTTATTTTACAGGGTTTGCTTGAACTGAGGTATATCTTCACTAGGCAGTAGTTTTCTGTCTCATTCCTTTTAACAGGAAATACAAAAAGTACAGTTACATAAAGTCCTAAAATTTTTACACAAAATTTGAACAGAATGACACCACTCAATCTGGCATTATCTTGATGACTTTGAGACAGAGTACCTGTGACCTTTTGTTATAATTCTGCTTTGTAATTTAGCCAAGTTATCTTTAATAGGGATTCTCTGTCTTGATCAATAAAACATCACCATTCAACCAGCTGTTCAATCTAGAAATACTAGTGTCATCTTTCAGTCCTTCTTCTTCCTTATAATTCATATCTAGTTTGTTATTGAGTCTTGTAAATTATACATTCATAACAATTTTCAATTTTCCTCCCTCTTTATTCCAACCACTATTGCCCTAATTAAAGCCATATGACCTTTTTGGTCTATAGCAATAATGCCCTAACTGGTCTTCCTGTTACCAGTCCTCCTGTCCCTCAAGCTTTCCTTCACACTGTTTCAATAATATTTTCTAAAACATGTATGTATTTTCTTATTCCTCTATTTAAATCAGTCAATGTCTGTCTCTTAATTACTATAGAAAAACCTTCAAATTTCGTGATGCGCCACCCAACTACCATCACAATTATTCCTAAGAAACCTGGCCCCTCCACTGCTTCTCGCCCCCATTCCAAACTGTCCACATTTTGTGTAAACATTCCCATTCACTTCCCCAAATTTCTGTGTCTTTTTCTCTTTCTGTTTCCTCTATCTGGATCTTCCCCCTAACTGTCTGCCTAATGAAATATTTTAATATTTGTTCAACTTATCTTCTTTGTGATGCTTTCTCCAGACCTCTGCTTTTGGGTACTTCCACATTTCTTTTACAGACTTTTGCAACATGATTTAATGCACTGAATAGCAAGGAAGCATGAGACTGTCTATCCTGTCAAAAGGGAAGCTCTTCGAAGGCAAAAGGTCTGCTATTTTGAGATTTGAATGTCCATGTTCATTATAAAGTCAATTAATCAGTATATGATATTTTGTACCCCATGATCCTCTGAGAAGTTAGGTATGTCTGAAAATATTTTTTTAAAAAAGTACTTGGTTACATTATTTACCATTTACTTGGTACCTCAAATTCAGAGACTTATTTCTTAATCAAGACGTAATCTTGATGAATTGGGAAATTGGGATTGACATATATACACTAATATGTATAAAATGGATAACTAATAAGAACCTGCTGTATAAAAAAATAAATAGAATTCTAAAATTCAAAAAAAAAGACATAATCTATAACCTTCAAGAAGCACTTTTCAGAGTGTTAGTATATGGTGACCTAATTTGATGTTTAATTCTGTAGTCAAATTTAAACTAAGACAGCACTGTTCTGGGCCTCTTAGTCCTTACAATCATATAAGAGAGAAGAATATGCCTGGAATCTGGATGTCAAATCTGACAGCAAAATCTATACGTGCTTCAGGATTTGTTACCCTGTCAATTTTATTAGTATCTTAAATTTAGTTATGAATTTCTCATTTTAAAAAAGCAGTTAAAATATTATTTAATATGAAATTTGAAGTGTATCTATATAGACATACAGCCAATGAATCTAGTAACTACTCCTAAATATATTGTTCATTATTTCCTATCTTATTTTATCCTTTTAGTAGATCATACTTGTTGCAATTTTAATGAACATTTTATTTTATAATAATTCTAAATACTGTTCTCTAAGGTTGTAAATAATACGCATAGTAGAAAAATCTTACACGCATTGTTCCATAACTTGAAAAGTCGCTTTAAGTTACACATTTATAAAAATAAAAGAGAAGAAAATAAAAGCCTTGAAAAGAAAAAGAAAATAATTATGATATTTTCCAGTTAGAAAATGGATTTGAAAATACTGCTTTTTCTAAAATGAACAATTTATTTTTAGACTTGATAGAATTTTATTTTTACGAAGTTTTTTGATCAAATTAGAAGATCAGTAGATACTTCTACCTTATGTATCAGACTTAGATTAATTTATTCTCCTTAGAACTATTTCATTGTTGGAGAAATTAGTGAAAATATCATCAATACATTAATGCAGAGGATTTTTACAAAGCAAACATAGTAAGGGTATAACATGTTTTATTCATAATACTAAACTTGTATCCATTCTAGATCAGTTAAATAGTGAGGTTTCAAAAAAAATCTCATAGAAGATGAAATAAAAGATAACTAAATAAAAGATTTGCCTCTTTTAAAATAATGTGTAATGTCAGAATAAGAGAAGAGAATAAAAATGTCTTGAATAGTTTTACTGACTCATTTTTCATTGAAGCTGAAATGAGTCAATGGTGAGGGTTCTGTTTTAAAAATAACAGACTAGTATAATTTTACAAATTATTAGTTTTTTGACAGCTTGAGACTTAACTCCTTGAAACAATAACCAAAGAGATCAGTGGAATGAATTGGTTCGTGAGTTAAGTTGAGATCATATTATTGACAGATGATAGTTTGGGTCTCAAGTTTTAGCCGTCTACTCCTGCTCACATTTCCCCCAAGTCCCATTCAAAAGAAGGTTGAGAGTGTATTTATATATCTCCAGAGAAACCTACATTGCTCATTTTTAAGTACGATCAGACGTTCCATAACATTTGCTATGAGAAAAAAATTTTCATTTCCTAACCACTGGTTCTTCACCATCACTGACTTAACTGATTGCACCATTGGCCTGTACAGAACTCCATTTAAAGGAGATAACTATTGAAGCATCAAAAATACTCAGGCAAAGGCAGATTTTTTTGTAGGGGCAGTAATGACATGGATCTCAAGCATGATGTTAAAGTCCCCACAGAGTGGAAGAAAGGAAACAGTTAAGTGTCAGTTCTTTTTTAAACCAGGCACTCAGATAAAACAAATACTTCTCAATTAGATAATGATGTTATATTGGGAAAACGACAAATGAGAGCAGAATATTAGAAAACAAAACCAGAATTACTCTAATAACATTAAAAATAATAAAAGTAAACAAACTATATTGGAAAAGGATGTATAAACTTACAGTTGTTGTGTAAGCAGCTTCTGGATCATCTTCCAGCACTCGGGAGAGACCAAAATCAGAAACTTTGCATACTAAGTTGCTGTTGACCAATATATTCCTAGCTGCTAGATCTCGGTGAACATAACCCATATCAGAAAGGTACTTCATTCCTGATGCAATGCCTCGGAGCATACCAACCAACTGGATGACTGTGAAGTGGCCATCATGTTTCTGAAAGAGAATCACAGTTATTTACATTGATTTTTTTTATTGTAGTGCGTGTGCACACATGCATGCATGTGTGCCTGTTTGTGTAGGTGTGTGTGGTGTATTAAATGAAATTCTTGAATTTATTTTACTGGATCCAATGAATGTAAGTATCAAGTTTGCTGATCATTGACTGTGTTCATAACACAAGATAAAAATTTGTTGGAGATTTAAAGGAAAGAAAAATCTAGCTTGAAGTGATGAAGGAGGGAAAAGAAAGGAGAGAAGAGAATCAACCAAATTAACTTCCAGAAAAAATGATTTCAAAAACTTTAAGCAACAAAAGGGAACTAAAATCGAGTAAGATAGTAGCAAAGACTTCCAAGAAAAAAGAATTCACTTTCCGTAGTAGTGAGCTCCCAAGGCAGTAAAACTTAGGATGTGATGAAAGCTGTGTGATTGCTGGAAATATGGTGAAAAATGATCAACGAAAAAGAAAAGCTGATTGCATAAACGAGTTTAGGAAAGTTGCAGGAGAATGGAAAAAAAACCCCACATGCAAACAGAAAATAACTAGATTTTCCCAATCTTTCGTTATACAGTTGACTCTGAAACAACATGGGTTTGAACTGTGAAGGTCCACTTATATCAGGAGTTTTTTTCAATAAATACACAGTTGGCCTTCCTCATCTGTGGGTTCCACCAGCTGGCAGATAGTGTACAGTACTATGTTTACAGTCCTGGGTTGGTTGTATCCGAGGATGCAGAATCCACGGATACATGGGGCTGGCTATGGAACTTGAGCATCTGCGTGTTTTTCTATCTGAGACAGGTCTTGGAACCAATCCCCCGTGGATACCCAGGGAAAACAATATAGAGCAAATATAAAGAAAGGTGTTGGCAACTGACTGAAAACAGGACTATTATTTTATAGTTCCCAGTGGGAAAATTAAAAGAAATATGAATAACAAGCCAAGCACAGCACTGATATGTAGTAATTAATCCCTTGACTATTTATGCCTCTCACCTTGATTTAAAAAAATATTTTTAACTGTAGTATAATTGATTTAGATTTTCAGGTGTACAGCATGGTGATTTAGTATTTTTTGCAAATTATACTCCAGTTTAGGTTATTACAAGATGATGGGTATACAGTATATCCTTGTTGCTTATCTATTTTATAAATAGTAATCTGTATATATTAATCCCATACCCTTAATTTGTCCCTCGCCCCTACACTCTCCCCATTGGTAACCACAAATTTGTTTTCTAAATAAAAATAATATATTTTTTTAAAAAGTAAAAAAAATCCAGTTGTCATTCATACAAGATGTGTGCACCAATAAGACCAGATACAAACAGTACAACAGTGCAAATGTAGAGAAAATGAATATAAAAATAATTTAAGTTTGAAAAATAATGCATATTGTTCTACTTAGTTATTTGGAGATTGTTGTCATTAATGGGGTTATTGAGAAACATGAGATTCTCAAGTCGGTGTCACACATCAGGTAACATTTATTTATGAATGATATTAAAAATTAATATCTATTAAGAGACTAGAGGACTATATTACCTTATACAGTGTGATAGAGGCATACATAAAAGTATCTCAAAATTTGCAAAGTTAAAGCAGATTTCATGGATATATGATTTAAAACTATAGAGTAGCTTAAACACAGTGACGATTTGACCCTATCACAGTGACATGGTCTCCTGTACAATGATTCATCAGTCAGTTAAATAAATAAACTTATACTACAAACGGAATAAACTTCATCTTACTTTATCAACATACGTCCCCGATAGCTCTCTGATAATATCTCCCAACTCAAGTACACAGTAAGGAAAAGAACACTCTCTTAAAAGAAACATTCTACAGCAAGAGTATCCATGTACGCAGGCTCTTCTGTATAATTAATGTATAAAAGATAACCTAGTAAAGAAAATCTTTGGTGTTATTAGCCCTTTATGTTTCCCATCCATCTTCCTAGACAGCGCACAATTAGATGAAATCTGCCTCTTCTGTCATGTACCCTACCTACATCTCCTCTATTAGGAATCTCAAAGCCTTTGAAAGCATAAATTCTTTTGGACTAGAAAGGATTACGCTAATTTTAAAGAGATGGTTCTTTTACGTATTAGTAAGTGAAGCTGTCTGGTATCAACAGTTCTTGTCAAGGCAGAATTTCTGTATAGTAGGAAATGTTAATGGATGATCTGAACGCTAGAGTGCCTCAGTTTCCTTATCTGTACAATGAGAATCGTATAATCTAACTCAGGATTGTAGTGAGAATCACATACAAAACACATAGCACAGCCCATCATTTATTTTAATAATAGTCATTATTTAATAAAAACATAATCATATGTAGTTTTTGTCATTTTAATATTAATCAGAAAATTCTCCACTCACTTTCCTGAAAAATCAGTTGGCAACAGAAACTCTTACATTATAAAGAGAAATAGTTACTTAACACCAGGTTGAAATTTAACTTACTGTCTTGTTCTGAGGGTGGCACAAAGCACCAAGTTATTTCTTTAAAAAAAAAAAAAGACTATTTTTTGGAACACTTTTAGGTTCAAAGCAAAATTAAGAGGAAGGTACAGAGATTTCCCATATACCTTCTGCCCCCCCCACATGCATAGCCTCCCCACCCAATTATCAACATCCTTCACTGGAATGGTACATTTGTTGCAATTGGTGAATCTGCAATAACAAATCATAATTGCCTGAAGTCCATGGCTTGAACATTAGGATTCATTCTTGGTGTTGTACATTTTTGGGTTTGGACAAATGTATTATAACATGTACTCACCATTACATTATCACATACTGTTTATGTATAGTATTGTATATCAATAACATAGTACTTTCACTGCTCTAAAAAGCCTCTGTGTTCCACCTGTTTATCACACCTGCCACCCCCCTTCCCTGGCAACCACTTATTTTTTCATGGTCTCATAGTTTTGTCTTTTCCAGAATGTGATATGGTTGGAAGCAGTATGCAGCCTTTTCAGATTGGCTTCTTTCACTTAGTTATATGCATTTAAGATTCCTCCATGTCTTTCCATGGCTTGAGAGCTCATTATTTTTAGTGGTGAATAATATTCCATTGTCTTAATGTACAGTTTATTTACCCATATACTTACTGGAGGACATCTTGGTTGCTTCTAAGTTTTGGCAATTATAAATAAAGCTGCTGTAAACATCTCTGTTTATAGACTGTTTAGAGCAGTTTATATAGCTGCAGGCTTTTATGTGGACATAAGTTTTTGATTCCTTTGGCTAAATACCAAGGAGGGCAATAGCTGGATGTATGGAAAGAGTATGCTTAGTTTTTGTAAGAAACTGCCTAACTGTCTTCCAACGCGGCTGTACCATTTTGCATTCCCACCAGCAATGGAGAGTTCCTGTTTTTCCACATCTTCACCAACATTTGGTGTTGTCAGTGTTACTGATTTTGGCCATTCCGATAAGAGCAAAGTGGTATCTCATTTTAATTTTCATTTCCCTGATGACATATGACATGGAGAGTCTTCATGTCCTTATTTGCTAACTGTATATCTTCTATTGTGAGGTTTCTGTTAAGGTGTTTGGCCTTTTCTTTTTCTTTCTATTGTCTTTTATTTCCTTTCAGTTTGCTTTTAAAAAAACTGAAGTATGGTTGATTTAAAATATTATATTAGTTTCAGGTATACAGTGTAGTAATTCAATATTTTTATAGATTACACATACAAAGTTGTTATAAATATTGACTATGATTCCTGTGCTGTACATTATACCCTTGTAACTTATTTATTTTATACCTAGTAGTTTGACTCATTTTTTAATTGGGTTGTTGATTTAATAGTTTTTGTATATTTTGGATAACAGTCTTTTATCAGATGTATCTTTTGAAAATAGTTTCCCCAGTCTGTGGCTCCTCATTCTCTTGACATTGTCTTTTACAGAATAGAAGTTTGAAGTTTTAATGAAGTCCAGCTTATCAATTATTCCTTTCTTGCATTGTGTCTTTGGTGTTGTATCTAAAAAGTCATTGCCATATCCAACGTTGTCTAGGTTTTCTCCTATGTTATCTTCCAGGAGTTTAATGATTTTGTGATTCGCATTTAGATTTGTGATTTATTTTGAGTTAATTTTTGTGAAGGGTGTAAGGTTCTGTGTCTAGATTCATTTTTTTTTTGCATGTGGATGTCCAGCTGTTCCTGTGCCATTTGTTGAAAAGACTATTTTTTCTCCATGGTATTACTTTTGTTCCTATGTCAAAGACCAGTTGACTATGTTCATCATAGCCTCTCTATTCTGTTCTATTGATCCATCTGTCTATTCTTTCACCTGTACCACACTGTCTTGATTACTATAGCTTTATAATAAGTCTTGAAGTTGTGTCAGTCCCCAACTTTGATCTTCTTCAGTACTGTTAGCCATTTTGGGTCTTCGGTCTCTAAACCTTAGAATCAGTTGGTTAATATCATAAAATAACTTACTGGTTTTTTTTTTTTTTTTTGCGGTACGCGGGCCTCTCACTGTTGGGGCCTCTCCCGTTGCGGAGCACAGGCTCCGGACGCGCAGGCTCAGCGGCCATGGCCCACGGACCCAGGCGCTCTGCGGCATGTGGGATCTTCCCGGACCGGGGCACGAACCCGTGTCCCCTGCATCGGCAGGCGGACTCTCAACCACTGCGCCACCTGGGAAGCCCCAATTTACTGGGATTTTGATTGGGATTTTATTGAAATTGTAGATCAACTTGGGAAGAACTACATCTTAATAATATTGAGTCTTCCCATCCACGAACATGGAATATTTCTCCATTTATTTAGTTCTTCTTTGATTTCATAACAGTTTTGTAGTTTTCCTCATTTAGATCTTAGACATACTTTGTTAGATTTACACCTAAGTATTTCATTTGTGGGGTGCTAATGTAAATGGTATTGTTTTTAATCTCAAATTCCACTTGCTCGTTACTGGTATGTAAGAAAGCAAATGACTTTTGTATATTAACCTTGTATCCTACAACCTT